GGCACATAACAACAACAACAACACTGTTGAGTCTCACCACTGGACCAATTGGCAGCATCAGGATGGATGGTGAAGAGATTGAGATTGTACACAACTTTAGTCTGCTTGGCTCCACAGTCAATACTCTTGGCACCAGCAACCAGGAAATTAAAAGATGTATTGCGATGGGAAAGTCTGTGGTTAGGGACCTCTCTAAAGTAACTCAAGAGCAACGATGTGTCTCTGGAGACTAAGGTGCATCTGGTACAGGCCATGGTCTTTGCAATCGCTTGTTATGCATCAGAGATCTGGACAATGACCAGGGAGGATAGAAGGAGAATTGATGCTTTTCAGCTTTGGTGTTCGAGAAGAGTGCTGAGGGTGCCATGGACTGCGAAGTAAACAAACAGATTCATCCTGGAGAGGGTTAAACTGGGCGGTTCCTTGGAGGCAAGGATTCTGAGGCTTCGAATGACATACTTTGGTCATGTTGTAAAGAGGGACTGGTCCTTGGAGAGGGACATCATGCTTGGGAGCGTGGAGAGCAGGCGCAGGAGGGGAAGGACCTCTAGGAGATGGATTGATTTAGTGACTGGGACAATTGGAATGAGTGTGTCGGGGACAGATTGGCACAGGACAGAGCAGAGTTTAGAGCTGTTGTACATAGGGTTCCTATGAGTCGCAAACAACTCGACAGTACACAACAACAACAACAACAACTGATAAGGAATTGTGAAATCAACCAAAGGGAAGTGGTTTGAATCCACCAGCTGCTCTATAGAAATCTCTCCTCATGTCATTTACAGCCTCTGAAAAATCTCTTGAAAGTGAGCTATGAGTTAGTTCTGACTCAATGGTAATGAGCAGTAATAATTAGATGTGTAAATGTTTGTGTGCATTTTTACTATTGATGTTTAATTAATAATTTTTACCACTGACACTCTGAAAGGGAATCTAGTGTCATCTTCTGTCCTTTCTTCAGTTTTATTCCCCACATTTCATTATCATGATTGAATAAGTCTATATCTGAAATATCTCTCAAGATTGGCTCTGTCTTTGTTCTTATTGCCACTACATTAATTGAGACCTCGTGTCTTAGTCGCAAGGTATTGTGCTGCCAACACAGCGGTGGGTAGTTCTAACCACCTAGTTGCTCCACTAGAGAAAGGTGTGTAGTCCCCTCCCTTGTGATTTGTTGCCTCTGAAAATCTGCTGGAGAGTCAGCTATGAGTCAGTTCCGACTCGATGATACATAACAACACAGTCTACTTAGGAGCTCTGGTGGTGTAGTCTGTAGGGAGCTTTGATGATAACTCAAATATGGTGCTTCTCTGGAGGTTCAAATCTACCAGCTGCTCCCCTTGTGGGAATTACAGCCTCTAAAAAGGTGCTATAAGTTGACTCTGATTCAAAGGCAATGAGAGAGAGGACACATCTGCCTCCAGTGTCTTTATCCTTTAATCTCATTTAATTGAAAGAAGTCCTATTTCTTGAGTTTCTGTAATCTCTTAGGTTGTTGTTATGTGCAGTTGAATCGTTTGCAACTCATAGGGACCCTATGTACAACAGCCCTATACCCTTCTCTATCCTGTGCCAATCGCATTGACTCTGACACACCCATCCCGATGACCCCAGTCACTGAATCAATCCACCTCATAGAGGGTCTTCCCCTCCTGCACTGTCCCTCCACCCTATGAAGCATGATGTCCCTCTCCAAGGACCAGTCTCTCCTTACAACATGTCCAAAGTATGTCAGACGAAGCCCCAGAATCCTTGCCTCCAAGGAGTAGCCTGGTTTAACCCTCTCTAGGATGAATCTGTTTGTTTTCTTGGCAGTCCAGGGTAAATTCAATACTCTTCTCCAACACCACAGCTGAAAGGCATTCTATCCTCCCTAGTCATTGTCGAACTCTCTGATGCATAACAAGTGATTGCAAGGACCATGGCCTGTATCAGGTGCACCTTAGTCTCCAGAGAGACACAGTTGCTCTTGAGTACTTTAGAGAGGTCCCTAACAGCAGACTTTCCCAACGCAATACATTTTTTGATTTCCTGGCTGCTGGTGCCAAGAGTGTTGACCGTGGAGCCAAGCAAACCGAAGCTGTGAACAATCACAATCTCTTCGCCATCCATCCTGATGCTACCAATGGGTCCAGTGGTGAGAATCTTTGTCTTCTTGACATTGAGTCTCAGTCCATACTGAAGGCTGCAGTTCTTGACCCTCTGCAGTAAGTGCATGAGGTCCTCTTCCTCAGTTTCAGCAAGCAGGATTGTGTTATCTGCATAAAGCAGATTGTTAATAGATCTTCCACCAATCCTAACGTCACGCTTCTCCTCATAGAGCCCAGCCTCTCGGATAATCTGCTCTGCATACAGGTTGAAAAGGTATGGAAATAGGACACAGTCCTGGCGTACACCCTTCCCTATTTTGAACCATGCAGTGTTACCCTGCTCTGTTCTGACGACTGCCTCTTGGTCCAAGTATAGGTTTCGCATTAGCACGATTAAATGTTCTGGGATTCCCATTCTTCTCAGAGTCAGTCACAGCTTGTTATGATCCACGCATTTGCCTTTGCATAATCAGTGAAACACTGATAGACATTCTTCTGGTATTCCCTGCTTTCAGCTAAGATCCATCTAGCACCAGCTATAATATCCCTAGTACCACAACCCCTTCTAAACCCAGCCTGGACTTCTGGCAGTTCTCTGCTGATGTGCTCTTCCAGTCTTTTTTGGATAATCTTCAGTAGAATCTTGCTTGCATGTGAAATCAATCTATGGTTTCCACACTCTGTTGGGTCAACTTTCTTTGGAATGGGAACAAATATAGATCTCTTCCAGTCAGTTGGCCAAGTGGTTGTTCTCCAGATTTCTTGGCACAACTTGGTGAGCACATCCAGGGCAGCATCTGGTAGCTAAAATATGTCAATTGGTATACCATCCAATTGGTATACCTTCCTAGGGCCTTATTTTTTGCTATTTCCTTCAAAGCAGCCTGGACTTCTTCCTTCATCACCATAGGCTCTTGCTCAAAGTTATTTCATTAAATTCTTCTGTATCTGCCAATTCCTTTCAATACAATGACTCAGTATACTCCTTCCATTTTCTTTTAATGCCTCCCGGATAATTTAATATTCTGCCTAAAGCATCCTTGATTATAGCAACTCGAGGTTTAAATTTGTTCTTCAGTTCCTGAGCTCAAGAAATGCTGAACGAGTTCGGCCCTTTTGATTTTCCGACTCAAGCTCCTTGCACATTTCATTGCAATATTTTGCTTTGTCATTCAGTGCTGCTTTTTTTAATCTCCTGTTCAGCTCTTTAGTGTCTTGAATTCTTCCTTGTCCTTTGGCTTCTCTGCGCTCCAGTGCGATCTTCAGAATTTCTTCTGACATCCATTTTGGTCTTTTATTCCTCTTCTGTCTTTGTAGTGAACGCTTGCACTCTTGCTGGATGATACATTTGACATCCTCCCACAACTCATCTGGCCTTCTCTCATTAGTGTTCAAGGCCTCAAACCTGTTCCTGAGATGATTCTGAAATTCAGGTGGGATGAAATCAAAGTCATATCTTGGCTCCTGTGGATTCGGTTTCATTTTCCTCAACTTCAGCTTGAACTTGCATGAGTAGTTGGTGGTCTGTTCCACAATCAGCTCTGGGCCTAGTTTTCACAGGTGATATTGAGCTTCTCCAGCAGTTTTTTCCACAGATGTAATCGATCTGACTCCTATGCATACCATCAGGTGAAATCCATGTGTATAACCTGTATTTATGTTTCTTATAAAATGTATTCGCTATGAATAAGTCATTGATTGTTCAAAATTCAATCATTCTCTCTCCAGCTTCATTTCTGTCACCAAGCCCATGTTTTCCAACTCCTGGTTCTTCTTCTCTGTTCCCAAATTTTCCGTTCCAGTCACCCATTATTATCAATGCGTCTTGATTGCATGTTCGATCGATCTCTAACTGTAAAAGTTGGTAGAAATAATCTATTTCTTCTTCTTTGGCTCAGGTTGCTGGTGCATATATCTGAATGATAGTGGTATTCACTGGGGTACTATGGTAAAATGCAAGACAGATAGGACGTCAGAACCTAGTCCTTAATTTTGATGACTCATGTCTTGTAGGCACATTTCCATATGTTTTCCATGTATATGTATGTATCTTCCTTTCTTTTGATTTGACCATCTTTCATTCATTTTTAAAATTAATCATACCATTAAATTCAGATTTGCTGACATAACGTCTTTAATTATCATTCTCAAATTTTCAAGTGTGAAGATAAAAAATGTCAGTATTGTTGCGATTATTGTGGAGATATTTAAAAATACCATACTGATGCTCTTGAGTGGTTGAAGTTCAATTTTAGAAAATATAGGGAAGCCTGAAAGTAAATTGTTGTTGTTGTTAAGTGCCGTCGATTCGCAGGCGACTCATAGTGACCCTATGAAGGAGAGTCCTTGACGCTTGGGTGCCTTTCATCCTCTCTCCAAGTGCATAGGGTTTCCGGAGGCAATCTATTATGGAAGTGGATGCCATTCTTCCTTCCACGAAAGTAAATTAGTGATTATAAAATATGCAACCAGCTTGTATTTTCAAAATAATTCTAGTTTGGTAGGATACCTATTGAACTGTGAAGTGTCCTAAGGGAAATCTCGTAAAAGAGAATTTGATGACAAAATAGTCTTTAGTTTCCGGAAATATTTTCAAGGGAATTTTTAGCATGCTAAATGCTTTCTATATTTTCCACAGTGGCGGTTGTCAGATTTAATGCAGTACTTTTCTGTTGCCCATAGGTACACACTGGTGGATATTTTGCGTGCCATCTTGCTTTCTTTAGAAGCCATGATTGAAGATCCTGAGCTTCAAGTGAATGGATTCGTTTTGATCATAGACTGGAGTAACTTCACCTTCAAGCAGGCCTCTAAACTTACACCAAGCATGCTTCGATTAGCTATTGAAGGCCTCCAGGTAAAGGTTTATAAACTACTCACTGGGTTTATATTCCAACATGTCTTATAGAGTAGTTTAACTTCTCTTGTCTCATCTTACTTGAAAAAATACAACAACCTAAAAAATTTTCAAACATAAACATTACAACATTCACTAATTGAATGCAAATGTTATAGCAGAAAAGTTGAAGAATGTAGATCTTTGAATAGTTAGGTGGGTGTATGTGGTGTTTGACACAAATACAAGGGATGAGCAGATGTTTATCTTGATAATCAGAAGAAGCAACATCTTTTGGATTTTCATTACTAGCCAATTTAAAGTTTGATTCTTGCTAATTTTTATTTACTGTTTAATGCTTTTTCATTAATTAGCCAAATATCTGATTACTTATTCCATTTAACAGGCAATTTGGGATATAATGAGTAGTGTTTCTATGTTGCTTGAAAAACAATTGGAAAGTTATTATATATGTTTGGTTTTATATATGTCATTATATGATTATATATTATATATATATAATTATAAATATTTGTCATTATATATGACAAATTCAATATGTCATTGAATTTTATTTTTAATTTAAATGGAGTTTATGTTGGGGTTTTTTTGAGGGGGGCAGATTCAGTCATATGTTATTTGTAAATCTTCCAGTGACTTCTTTAACTAATTTGGAATTATAAAATAGAAGAGTTATTATTTATAGGCATTTATGAGTTTGCTATTGTTATTTTCTTTTTAGTTTAAACAATTTCTTTCTTTTGCTCTAGTTCGTTTCACTTTGTATATAAATTGACAAAAATGGATTCTAAGCATTTAAGAAAGAATCTTTCTTGAGTTATGCTATCCAATATTTGTTTCTTATATTTTCAAGATGTATTTAAAAAGGTTGAGTGTCAGTAGCTAATTTTTCTACCTTTAGATAAATTATTTTCAAAAATAACTTATTTTCAAATTGCTAGTTATGTTTCTGTTATTCATTGCACTAAAATATTAGACATTTGAAAAACAGTGGGAGAAGTGGAATAAGTCAGTTTTCCAGATCCTTGCTCCACAGTAATTTGTGAGTATGCTTTTAGACATCTAAATTGATAGGTAAAAGAGGTTACTTATACAGGTCACAGGACGCCTTAACTAAGCTCTGGAATGGATATGTTGTATGCCATTGAGTCAGACCGACCCATAGCTGATCCTCCCGCAGGTTTTGAGAGACAGCTAATCTCATAGGGGGAGATTGCCCGTCTTTCTCCTGTGCAGCAGCTCGTGGATTCAAACTGTGCGCCTCTGGAATTGCAGCACAGTTTTTCCCACGAGGCCACTGGAGCTATAGCATACAGACTTTTCCCCCTCTGGGTAGAATTTTTTATTTTTCTTCCCTGAAAGTGACTTCTTGATTTGTTCTTGGTGTCAGGCTTACACTTGTTATAGCTTTATCAGCACCTTTTTAACCCCACAGAGACAGTTGGTAAAGCCTGAAAGAAAACCCAAGACTTGTTTAGAGATGCAGAATCTGGATTAATCCTACCCAATTGCCAGGGATATGTAAAGAATTTTTTAGTTTTCAATTTAATTGGCTATCATCAACCATGTTACTTAATGCAGAATGATAATCTCACCTATAATAAATGTTATCCGTACTTCACTTATGTTTTTCATTTGATCTGGGGATAGGCTAAGTCTTTAGTTGTACGAAAGACTCACGCTGTTGTGAGTTTCTGCCGATTAAATTCTGCCTCCTGGGCCCACGTATGTGCAGAGTAGAACTATTCTGTAGGGTTTCCAAGGCCTGGGCCTTTTGGACAAAGATTTTCAGATGTCTTCTTTTTCTTAAAGTTTTTTTATTATTATTGATTTTAATGAAAATTTACAGAGACTTTGGATTTCCATTCATTCATTGTTGCACTTTCACCCCTGCCTACCCCTCCCTGCCCAGTACAGTCTCCTCTTTGAAAAGTACAAGAAAAAAAAACTTTCATTGTTTTACAATCCCTCCTCCCAAGTCCACTCCACTATGCAGCCTTCATTCTGGACTCCTGTCATGACAATAATAACTAATCACATATCCCTTTTAAACAGTTTTCTTTTTTATCTGTTTCCATGCAGTATACATTATTGAAGCCATCTTTCTCAGTCTCCCCCCAACCCCGAGGTCAGTCCTGTTTTACAACAGTGGCACCATGCAGTATTTGCCCTTTTGTGACTGAGATACTTCACTCAGCATAATGTCCTCCAGAGTCACCCATTTTGAATAATATTGCATGAGTTCCTTGTTTTTCAATGCAGCGTAGTATTCCATTGTGTGAATATACCACAGCTTCTCTATCCATTTGTTTGTTGATGGGTACTTAGGTTGTTTCCAACTCCTTGCTATTGTGAACAAAGCTGCGATAAACATGGGTGTGCATATATCTGTTTGGGTGTCAGTTATAGTTTCTTTGGGGTATATTCCCAGTAGTGGAATTGCTAGGTCAAATGCTGTCTCTGTTTGCAACTTTTTGAGAAAGCACCACACCACCTTCCACCATTTTACACTTCCACCAATAGTGAATAAGGGTTCCAGTTTCTCCACAACCTTGGCAGCATTTGCTGCTTGCTGTTCTGTTCAGTTTTGCTCAGATGTGTCTTCTGAAGTGCCTCTGGGTGGGTGCTAGCCACCAACCTTTCAGCTGGTTTACAAGACTTTAACCATCTGTGCACCCAGAGGATCCTGCATGAATGAGATGAAGGAATACAGAAGCCATATTATGCTCTAAATTATTTTAAAGACTGCTTCAAGGATAGATTGTGTGGTATTTACCAGCTTATACATTTTATGGACATTTAATAAACAGATGATAAGTAATTTCAAGGAAACAAATGGACATCGTGGATGTTTTTAACAGTTTCCCCATTAGCCATGGTCATGTTCAGGACAATTTCTTTAAGTGCTGTTAGCGTAGCACAAGCTTTAGTCAGGTGAAACCTCTGTGCTTGTGCCCAGAGAGGAAGATGTCCTTCTACCCCAACATATATGGGACTTGTATTAGTCCCATATATGTGGAATTGCTCTGACTTTTCTCCCTAGAAATGTCTCAGTGCCCTTTGTTTTTTTCCCAGGACATACTGAGCAAGCACAGTTGATTCCTTTTATTTGCCAATTGTAAAGCAACTTAAAATAAGTGAGCATTTTCTAGACATAATTTTGACATGTTATTTTTTCAAGCTCATTTTCCTCCAGTTCAAACGGATTTCTTACTCTCTCTATATATTTGACTATCTACTCTATGTCTATGTGAGTTTAAAACCTTTGGTTGTTTTGAACAAAAATATAAAATACACAAAAATGACTCAATTTATGACTTTGGTTTATGGTGTTGGAGAGGGACACTGAGTATCTCATGGATAGCCAGAAAAATAGACAAGTGTGTCTTGGAGTTAGTTCAACAACCAGGAGGCTTTTAACGGCAGGCATGGTGAAGCTTCACCTCACAAATTTGAGTATGTTGTCGAAAGCAGACGTTATACTTGGAAAGATGGAGGGTCAAAGAGAGAGAAGACGACCTCCAGCCAGATGGATTGACACAGTGACTAAAACGATGGGCTGGATCATATCAGAGAGGTGAGGATGGTGCAGGATAGAGCAAATGTGAGGTCTGTTGTTCATGGAGAGGGTCACTGTGAGGCATGGGTTACTTGATGACATCTAACAACAACAACTTGTTTCATTGTATGATTTTACATGTCATCTTCTTTTCAAGTAACATCTTCTCACCAATCTTATAAAGTCTCTGTTCTTCTTTGTATATGCTGTCTGAGGTCTGGTACTGTACATAGTACACGTAGTACACATAGGGAGTCAGTTCTAGTTGGTGCAAATCCACCAGCAGCAACTCCAATGCTATTTACAGCTTTAAAATCTAGTGGAAGGTCGACTATAAGCTGATTCTGACTCATGGCAAAAAGTTCTTAACAAATTATGGTACATTGCTATATATTTCATTTGGCAAATAATAGAAGAGACTTTTCCACACCATAAGATATTGGAAAAGTTATTCACAATTTTATGTTGCTGAACACACTGACAGAGCCTTAACAATAAATGCCTTCTAATTAATGCAGAGAAATGAAGAGATAAGGATATTTTAATAATTCAATGCCAAATTATATCAGGTTAAAATGTGCTATATTTATTGTATCAAGTTAAATTGTTTAAAAAAAAAGTTAAAGAATACTGTCAGTTACTGTGATGCCACAAAGACTTTATTGACAAGTGTTATGACTGGATGTGACTTTATTTTTAAAAGTCATCATTGTTCTTCATCTTGAAGTGGCCCCCCGCCCCTTTTCTTGGTGACAAGAGTATTTCTTGTGATCTAGTTAGAGATAGCACCTTATAGTTTGAATAAAGAATCATAGATTATTGTTATGGTTTCTACACTTGTTTTCAGAATCAAGTCAATTAAAGGACAGTATGAGAGGGTGGGAATATGATGAACTTTGGAGGCTACCAGAGCTAGATTTGAATGACAATGCTGCCTTATATACATCCTTGAGTAAGTTACTGAGCCTATTTTAAGCATAGAATAGTCACTTGTAAAACTATCATCATAACGCTAATGGTAAAGTATGATACTAGGAATGATACTTTTTTTTTTACTTAGCAGGTGGCCTCATTGGTTAAAGTTATTGCTGCGACTCGGCATATATTTCAAGTATATATTTTTCTAGATCTGTGCTGCATTTGTTACAATTGAGTGTCTACCTAGACTGTGAAGAATGAAAGGGGATTGATACTGGAAATCTAACTGACATCACATTTTGCTTATGGTGTATCACTCATTGTTGTTGAGTCAGAACTGACTCATAGTCAATCTTTTAGTGGATTTTGAGAGGCAGTAGATTGTATCGGAGGAGACTGCCCATCTTTCTCCCTAGGATCTGCTAATGAATTTGAATCACTTGACTTTGTATTAGCACCACTTTTCTCCATCCATTTCATGTCTATTTTTGTTAAATGACATTTGTTTTGTTGATATTTTTAT